TTTTAGAAATGTTTTTGAGAATGACATTTGTGCTGCAAAATCTGTTTAAAATGGAAACTGGAAATACCTTCCACAGGGCAACTAGGTGACAATATAATCAACCGCCTGCCCTCTGATCTCCCAATGAGTTTAGTGGAAAGTGTCTTTAATCTAACACTCCAGGAAATGCAAAGCCTCTGGCTTCTAAAGATGGCTCTTCAAAGATATATATGGAGTTTCTGCTTCAGATGAATCAGTCCAGCTGGTCTGGGGCAACCAGTCCAGAAAAGTGACTTTATTCAGGTTGCTGAAGCAACCCCGTAGTATCTCAGTACATCTTTGGGTTCAGAGAAGAGGGGAAGGCTTTGGACTCTGTGGTCATGTGGTCTAATTCCAGCTGCAGCTAGTTCTGGCCATCTGATCGTGTCTCCAGAGAGGCTAGCTGTACTGGATAAACTTAACTGAATCAACTTGATTGGCTTGGGAGCCACCTAGGAGATTAGTAAAGCATACTTCTGAGTGTGTCTGGGTGGGTCATGTAGGTGTGACCTTAGGGACTATATATAGTCCCTGGCTCCTTCTACTCTGGTGCTTTTGCCCTGCCATGCTCCCTGGCCACCATGAGGTAAATAGCTTCCCTCCACCAGGCCTTTTCACCATGATGCTTTTGCATTGGAGCAAGCCAAACATGGACAGAATCCTCTGAAACTAAGAGCCCAATAAACCTCTCTTCCTTTAAATTGTGGGTGTCAGGCATTGTGTCCCCAGTGACGAAAAGCTGACTAGTACAGCAGGCGTCGCACAGGATGGGGGTATGGCACTAAGCTGCAAGCTGAGCAATTTCCAGCAAGCAGCCCTGAGCCATCTTCATTCTAAAAATGTGCAGGGAGGGTGTAGGCACACAGGATGTTGCATTGTCCTGCCCACACGAAAGCTGCAAGTCTATCACTCAGTATTTCTGTTGGCAGAAACCAAAAATTGTCACATCTTAAACATTTCATTTTACAACCCCTCCCCCCACCTCATTTTTTCTCCAGATGGGAAATTGTGCACCAGCTACAACCGAGGGATCATCTCAAAGGCGAAAGTCAAGGCCATCAAGTACAGCATCATCATTGTTCTTGGTAAGCAAAGTCCCTCCTTATGCTGAAAAACTGTACAAACCTTCCCAAAGCAAGCTGCTGGTAAGGCGACATAAGAGAGGATCTATGCACTTCTTTTTTCTCAGCTTGGGAAGGGATGTATGAGACTCACTGGCCTATCTGTAGCTTCTCCAAGAGTTGATATTATGTTCCTATGCCCCGCTCATGAATGTAGCGCTCCTTCAGGAGCCTGAACTGGAAAATTTGGAGAAAATCAGATCAGGACCAAAGTAGCTGAAGCCAGGGCTCAGATCACCCTGCTCTACCAGTTGCCTCTTTGAAGACATGCTCTATGCAGGCCTGAAGTTCACAAGCAGAGGAATAATGGAAGCGTGTCCCACTTGTCTTGGACATTTACTCTTGAAGTTACTCCTAATCTTCCCTATGGCCCCTTTTCCACCCCTCCTCCTTCCCATCTTCTGCCTTTTCCTCTTCTTTTCTCTCTGCTCTTAGCACCTGAAAAATTCACCTTGCACTGTTCCCAACTTTGAGGAGAACTGAAAATGTTCTCCGGGAAGATGGATGTACAGTTTACTTCCCACCTTGTTTTGTTTCCGACAATGACATCTTCATCAGGCATCTTTGACAATGACAAGTCTTCTTCAGCAATCTCCTCTAGTCTTATCTGGTTTTGTTTTACTTCATGGTTCCTATTTCCCCCTAATTCTGCCTGTCTGTCTGTCTATCATGTATTTTCTATCACTTATTTATCATCTACATCTAGATATCATCTTTCATTTATCTATCCATCATCTATCTATTTCTTATTATGATATGTACATGTCCCTCTTATTATCTACCTCCCCTGCTGGAGCAATAAACCCATGAGAACAATGACTTGCTTTTGTTTTACTTACATATTATCACCAACGCCTGAATAAAGGTCCCATACACACCACTCAGTTAATATGTGCTGAATAAACCAGTGAATAAGGAGAGGTAAGGGCTTTAGCTCAGCGGCACAGCGCCTGCCCAGCAAGTGCAAGGTCATGAGTTCAACCTCTGGTACCAGAAAAAAAAAAAAAGGAGAGGCAAGAAGGAACAGGACTTCTGATTCCTTCTCTCTATTTAGCTGAAATGCACTCTCCTTGCATCTCTGGCAGTCCTTAGAAGCCCCAAGAAATCATTAGCTGCATGTCAAATTGCTGAAACAGCCTGCCTCCCTGTTCTACAATACAACAGCAAAATGTCAGACAGACCACACTCAGTGCAGTGTGACTCAGCTCCAGAGTCTGGGCACGGACCATAGTGCGGGCAGAGCAGGGCAGAGCAGGTACGACTCATCACGGCTCTCAGAAGTGGTTTTCAGAGGCTGTGAGGCAGATCAAAGACTCCCCTGCCTTCCCACCCGGAACTACAGATTCACATCCCCCAAATATTGAGTGGAGAAGAGTGTGTGCTCACACATGCATTTTTTTTATAGGCATGATCCATATTCCGAAACCCTATGATACCCTTCAGTCTGCAGCAGGGATGCCCACGAGAGGCTCAGCAAGTGTGGACAGACCAAAGAGACCCTTTTTAGGACAAATATTTTGCAATGGACTTTTACCATCCTTGAGTGACATGTATAAGTGATACTTATCTGCCAAAATGTTTTAAAATAAATGTATTGTCCCAACAATTATCTAAAAAGTAGAAAGACAATCATTTTTATATAACAATACCAATTTTTGGCATGTTACTAGATGAGGACTGCTGCACTAGAAGAATAATAAATTAGTCAGATGTTTACACCTAGACATAGTAACAGCTACAAATGGAAGCCAACCCAGGTGTGTTTTCATGGAGACACTAAAATTGTAAGCAGTCTCACTGTCAGTGACTTGATTTTCTGAGCAGGTGAGCAAAGCTGGAGAAAGCTCCAAACTAAACAAAGTAATCTTTCCTCTGTTTACAAGGGAATTGCATTTCCGAAAAACTCAGTTTTTCTGGAAAATATCTCCATACATATGTAAAAGACAGTAAGGTTTCTAGACTGAAGTAATTATAAATAGCATTCTCACATGTGTGAATGTCCAGCTGGGCATTGAACAATGTCTGGATGTGGTTGAGCTTTTGCTGGCTGGGGTGGCATACCTGAGGCATGCAGAAGAATTGGTATCCCTGCAATCACACACACACACACACACACACACACACACACACACACACACACGACCACATGAACACAGAGAGCATTTTTATACCTGGAGCCCCAAGACTACTCTTCTTGGGACAGTGAAGAATTCATCATTCAGGGTCCAGAATGGTCCCTGGTCTTTCTGTTTGAATGGATCCCATCTTCTAACACACTGCCATCATCTGGGGCCAAAATATTGTGGGTTAATTCCTCATTCCAAAACCCCCAGAAAGCTGCAATGCCTCTCAAATAATTATGGGGAAAGCTTGTCTCTTTATGAAGATGGCCACAAAAGCCAAATTTCTCCTACTCTGAGAAAAAATCCTGTGGGGATGGGACAGAGAGAGTAGTGAAGATGAAGCAAGAGTGCCAGAGAGAGAGAGGGACAGAGAGATAGAGAGGGGGGGTTGTTCAGCCCCAAAGCAGTGGCCTTGTGTCAATCTGTAATCTCTAGACAGATAGACAGATGATGGATGATGGATGGATGAATAGGTAGATTAGATAGATAGATGATAAATGATAGATAGATAGATAGATAGATAGATAGATAGATAGATTATGGATAGATGATGAATGCATGAATGGGTGATCAATAAACAGATGGATTCTAATTTATTATGAGAAACTGACTCATTATTATGAAAGCCGGTAAGTCTCAACCTCTCCACTTCACAAGCTGAAGACCCTGGAGGGATAATGGTGTAAGTTTTAGCTCAGATCAGAGTTAAAAAGCCTGAAAACAGAATACTTGGTGCACGTTCTAGTCTGACTCCAAGTGCGAAGGTGGAGAAGACCAACGGCCCATCTCAAAGACAGTCAGAGAAAGGGAATCTGTCCTACTCAGGCCTCAACAGATTGGATGAGGCTAACCTGCTTTTCTTAGTCTACTGACTCAAACATTAATCTTATCCAGAAACAACTTCATAAATGCACCCAGAATAGTGTTTAACCAAATGTCCGGAGCCCAATCAAGTTGTATATAAAATGAATCCTCACACTCTAAACTCCCACATCCAAGCCATTTCCTTTGAGGTGTTAGAGCTTGACAGAATCTGAGGGCTCACATACATCAAGTAACTTGGGCAAGGATATTAGATGGGTATTTTTTGGAGAGGTTAACTAGAAATGGAAAAGAAAAATTGAGAACATTATGTTTAAACAGGGCTGTGCTTTGAAAATATTAGGATCACTCTTTCCCCATGCTATTCCCTGAAACTAGGAACACTGTCTGATCAAATGCTCCCTGTTCTGTCTGGACCCAGAAATTTGCCAAGGAATTTTGCTAGGTTTTTTGCAGCACTGTGTTGGATGGGAGGATCTGTGTAAGGCCATAAGTTCCTGGTCTTTCAACACCAAGTCCACAATAGCAGAAATCTGACATCACCCTCCTTCACAGATCCAAGAACACTGCTTGGTTTGAAAATGTCATCTTCAGAGTGTGTGTATAGACACGAGTACATGTTCAAGAGAACATGATACCAGTGCTAACACACACAGCGACTCTCACAGTGTTTGCAGCGCAGATATTTTTGCGAGACTGCAGGTACCAGTGAACATCCAGTTGAAACTCCAGTCAAGGTTGACCAAGCCCCTGGGCTGTGGCCTCTGTAGTGCTAATAGTTCTCTTCTCCCCAGCCTTCACCATCTGCTGGAGCCCATACTTCCTGTTTGACATCTTGGACAACTTTAACCTCCTTCCAGACACCAAGGAGCGTTTCTATGCCTCTGTGATCATCCAGAACCTACCAGCCCTGAACAGTGCCATCAACCCCATCATCTACTGTGTCTTCAGCAGCACCATCTGCTTCCCCTGCAGGTATGGGGTGCAGCTGCCTGCCTCAGACACTGGTTGCCACCGAGTGTGCTCTGCCTTCCAAAGTGCCCAACAGGATATAGTGTCTTCATTTCACAGCTGAGACACTCCAGGGTCAGGAAGGTCCCACTAGTGTGAGAAATTCAACTCATGGATCACAGCCATGGCTCTTTCTTCCACACCACCACATGTCCTGTAACCTCTGTCTCAATCACGACACATTTAGACATTTGCTGTACTCAAGGCTTCTCCACATGAGCTGCTGCAATACGGTCTGGTCATAGTAGACCATGCTGGAGGACTTCCACCACCTTATAGATTAAAAAAAGAAAAATCTTGTGATGTCACATGATCCAATGACACCATTAAGGAGACATAAACACTTAAGAGCAGAGCTGAAATTAAATCCCTCCCACAGCTACTGCCACCATGCTGCTTTCTTGCACATGCTGTGGGGAATAAGTGGAGAAATCTACAGAAAATAGCAGAATAGACTAAGACGAGGGTTCCAATCCTGCCATTGCTTGATCATAGCTGTATGTGACCGTGGGGAGTTTATCACTCTTGGAAGCCTCAGTTTCCTTATGTAAATGGGGCTGAGAGCAGTGTCCACATCTCGGGCAGTGAAGTCCCTTTCCTCTGTGCCCTGCTGCAGGAAGGGAGGCTGTGAGTGAGTGGTGGAGGAGGAAGGTCAGGTGTTCTGTGGGAAATGTTAGCAGCTGTCTAATCTTTGCCTCCAGTCAACATCTCTCCTTCCCTTTGTATCAGGTCAAATTATTTTCCCTCACTGTCTCATTCTGGTTTTCTATAGGGAACAAAAATCACAGGAGCCCAAAATGACCTGCCGAGAGAGAAGTGAGAGGCATGAGCTGCAGTTTTTGTCCAAGCCAGAATTCATCTAGCTCGGGGCAGGCTGAGACGAAGCCAGGTCAGCCTTCCAGGGTTCCTCTCCCAGGCCCTGCATGTGCATGGAACCCTGGCCATGGTGTCACCTGCACTGCAAGCATTGGCCAGCACACACCCACCACTCTTCACCTGGCCCAGGAAAACACCTGTCCTCTCCTTGCTATTCCCAGCCCTCCTCCCAGTGGTCATCACCTGAGCCCAGGAGACAGAGCGCACTGGCCCAGGGTCCTGGCTGGGGTGAGCCAAGGAGACTGATGAGCAGAAGCAACAAAGAAATCAGATTGTTTGTCCCTGAGTCTCTTAATTATAACAAAGAAGAAGATAAAAGATTCAACCAAGACTAGACTTGTCCTTGCCTGCTTCAAATTGGAAGTTTGATGGCTGTTGCCAAGATGTTTGTCTCCAAAATGCCAACAAACCCATTCAATTCCGGGCACCATGCTTGGAGGTCCTTTTGCAAATGACTCTGTTGGCAGCAGCAAACCTCGCAGTCCCACTGTGTCAGCAGTGGTTTGTGGGAAGAGCACAGTCGTGAGCAAGGTCACACTGCAGAAGATCTTTCCCTGATAGGAAGGAAATGTGATAAAAAGCCACAGGCGCCAGAGAGTTGGGACCAGGAGCTCAAGCACTTTTGAAGGTTCCACCCTCTGCATTCCACATCTGGGTCACTGAGCCCCAATCCTCACACCTGGGAAGCACTTCTTCCCCTTTACCTCCCACAATCCTCTCTTCCACTGGGCGCTTTCCCGACTTGGTGGTTTTGTAAGCTCTTTATCTTTTTTGCATGTCAAAGCGATGGTCTACCCAACACCTCTGCCAGCAAGTGCTGTAGGCTTATTTTGACAGGTCTGGAGCTTGGTACTTATAAGCATAATCCAAGTGAAATATGACTAAATGTTTTCTTGACAATTTTCTCCTTCAGGGTTTTCCATAAGTGGAAATGGAATAATTTAATTTGATTATGTATACATCCCCACCCACCGCTCTAGGATACTCGTGAGCACCTTATTTTTAGCCTCACATACGTCCTTGACATTAAAATCTCCTTGGCAAAATCCTCTCTTACAGAGTTTAAATCGTTTTTCTTTTTCATCTTCTTCCTTTTTTTTTTTTTTTTTTTTTTTTTCTGACTGCAAGTAGAGTCATTAAAATGCTCAGTATA